TCCTTTAAGGAAGCCCTTCAGCTTCCCTGCAGTAGTTCTGTTGCCCTGGGGATAAGAATGATTCTTCCCAGGCTGGGGTGGGGCCCAGGGCGTGTGGCGGCCTGCCGGAGGACTTGGCCCCGCCTCACACAGGCACCTCGATAAGCACATGACCAGGATGAGCCTATGAAATCCTCATGACCATTCCAGGGTGCAGGCATGACTCAGACCAATCCTGAGGCATGAATGAGGGAGCCAGAGCACAGAGAGGCTTGGCAACTTGGCCCAGGCCACCCCGCCAGGCAGCTGTGTGGCCCAGTGGCAGAGGTGGGCTTTTACCTTGGGCTCTGGTAGAAAAGGTTCATCCACACACACTGACTGATGGCCTGCTGGGGCCACGTGAGGCTCAGGAGCCCGGGGCACAGCAATGGCAAAGGACCAAACACGCAGATTCCTGCCCCCTAGAGGTTTTTTCATCCTAGAGGAAAAGGAAGCCAATCAAACAAGCAAACACCTGCCCCGGAGCGCGGCTGGTGCACAGAGAGAAATGAGGCAGCCAAGGAGGACAGGGAGCATCCTCCGGGTGGTTGGTAACTTTCAAAGGCTGGGCAGGAAGGCAGTCATTGCTGAGAAGATGGCACTGGAGCAAGGACCTGAAGGAAGGGAGGGTGAGCCTCCTGGGTGTCAGGGAGAGGAGCATTCCAGGAGAGGACCAGGGAGTGCAAAGGCCCTGGGGCAGGAGCCAGGCAGCAGGGGGAGGAGCTCCAGGAAGGTGGGTGTGGCCGGAGCAGAGTGGGCAAGGAGAGGGAGGCGGATGAAGTCAGGGAGATGTTCCCACCTGGGTGCGCTTGACTTTGTCTCTCTAGTATGAGACGTGCTCATCTTATGGGCCATGGTGAAGGCTTTGGCTTTTACACTGAGTGAGGTGGGAGCTACGAGAAGTTTTCTTTCTCTTTTGAGAGACAGACTCACTGTGCTGCCCAGGCTAGAGTGCAGTGGCACAGTCATAGCTCACTCACTGCAGCCTCGACATCCTGGGCCCAAGTGATTCTCCCACCTCAGCCTCTTGAGCAGCTGAAACTAGAGGTGTGTGCCACCTCGTCTGGCTAACTTTTTATTTTTTGTAGAGATGGGGTCTGGCTATGTTGCCCAGGCTGGTCTCGAACTCTTGGCCTCAAGGGATCCTCCTGCCTTGGCCTCCAAAAGCACTGGGATTATAGGCATGAGCCACCACACCTGGCCATTTCTTTATCATAGTTTTTATTAAGATGTAATTTGCATATTATACATCCACCCACTTAAAGAACACAATTTGGCCAGGCATGGCGGCTCACACTAGTTTGGTTTGTTCTTTGTTCGTTTTTGAGATGGAGCGTCACTCTTATTGCCCAGGCTGGAGGGCAATGGCCTGATTTCAGCTCACTGCGACCTCTGCCTCCCGGGTTCAAGTGATGCTCCTGCCTCAGCCTCCTGAGTAGCTGGGACTACAGGCACCCGCCACCGTGCCCGGGATGGCTCACACTTGTAATCCCAGCACTTTGGGAGGCCAGGGTGGGAGGATGGGCAGGATTTTGAGAGCAGCCTGGGCAACAAAGCGAGACCCTGTCTCAACAAAAATTAAAACATTAAGTGTACATGGTGGCGTGTACTTGTAGTCCAAGCTAGTCAGGAGGCTGAGGAGGAATGACGGTTTGAACCCAGGACTTCGCGCTTGCAGTGAGCTGTGATTACAGCACTGCACTCCAGCCTGGGCGACAGAGTGAGACTGTCTCTTAAAAAAATAAAAGGTAAATAAAGTGTGCAATTTGATGGCGTTTTGTATATTTGCAGAGCTGTGCAACCATCATTACCATCACTTTCGGAACATTTTCACCACTCCAAAATGAAACCCCAAACCTGTACCAGTCACTCCTCATTCTCCCCGGCCCCGGCAACCACTGGTCTGCTTTTTGTCTCCATAGATCTGCCTAGTATGGACATTTTACATCAGTGAATCATATACGTGGCCTTTGCGTCTGGCTTCTCGCACTTATCAATGTTTTCAAGGTTCACCCATGGTGCAGCATGCGTCAGCACTTCATTCCTTTTTATGCTGAGTAATCTTGCAGTGTGTGGTTATGCCACATTTTATTTACCTCTTCGTCAGCTGATGGGCATGTGGATTGTTTTCACTGCTGGGCTGCTGTGAACATTTGAGTGCGAGCTTCCGTGTGGACACGCACTTCCCTTTCTCCTTGGCATAGACCAGGAGTGGAATGGCTGAGTCTCAGGGGACCCTACGTTTGCCTTTTGAGGCTGTACCATTTTACAATCCCATGAGCACCCCAGGAGGCTTCCAGCTCCTCCAGGTCTTTGCATGCGCTCATTCTCCGTCTCTGATCACGAGAGGACTCAGCAGAGGAGGAAACCATCTGACTTGGTTTTCCGGGAGCCACCACCATGCTGATCACGTTTTGTTATCAGCACTCTTGCTTTTCTTCTGTGTCTTCGGCTTTCGCCAGGGCAGGGTGTTTCTCTAAAACATGACAAAGACTTCTTTCCCTTCTTAAGCTGCCCTCCCTGCCACCGGAAGTGACTCCCCTCGGCAAGGCCAAGGTGGCTCACATGTCCCAGCACTCTTTCATCTCTGCCCTTCTCTCTCATTGAATGACAGCATGGCGTGACATGAGGGCTCTCCAGCCATGGCCTTGCAGCCCTCTTGGGTAAGCACCACGTACATTTGGACCTTGAAGACTTGGTCATGAATCAGAGTTAGATTGGGTGAGATGGTCAAGGCGGGTCAGTATCAAGGAAGTGGGGGAGGGCATCAGGGCCAGGCAGGCCACCAATCTGAGTTAAATGGCTAATTTCCAAGAACTTTAAAAGTCATTAAAAAAGGTGAACTGCATAGCTAAAGGCTGTTGAAGGCCTTAAGGAATTCAATGAAATGATACTAATTAGTTAATCACTTGATCAGATATTTGGTTGACTGATTTATGAGTTAATTAGCTGGTTGAGTAAAGCATTTATTGAGTACTTGCTAAGTGCCAGGCCTTTTTCTAAGTGCGGGAGATACATGGATAGTGAAACAGGGTCAGCGTCTGTCTCTCCGGAGCTGCAGGAGATGAACAAGTAGACAGATGAGACCATTTCAGACAAAATGAGGTGACCTGATAGAGTGGGCTGGGACTCCTGTTTTTGACAGATGCAATGGCAAAGGCCTCTCTGAGGAGTGGGTTTCAGCTGAACCCGGAAGAGGAGAATGTGGAGCCATGGAAGGATCTAGGGGAAGCATATCCTAGACAGAGGAACAGGAAGTGCAAAGGCCCTGACATAGGAAAAAGCTGCGGATGCTCAATAAACAGAAACAATGGGGAGAGGGGAGGAGATGGAAGCAGAGAGGCGGGCAGGAGCCGGGTCAGGTAGGTCCAGCTCAGTTGCACTGACACATTCCAGGCACTGTTCTAAGCACTGGCACATTTTCCTCACTTTAATCCTCGTGGTAGCCCTTGAACAGGGGCTCTTAGAATCCCTATTTTGTAGATGAGGAAACTGAGGCACAGAAAGCCCCACACCACCTGCCCCAGGACTCCAACTTGGGAAACCCCGGAGCCTGGATTGCTCTGAACCTGTTCCCCTGGGACTCCACAGCCTCACCCTAGCCACTCTGACCTCTGTCAGGAGTTGGGCCCTCCTCCTTGGGGCACTGGACCATGTTTGGTCTCCTCAGAGGAAGGCAGTGCCAGGCGAAGCTGAACACAGCAGGTGCTCGGTTAATATTGGTTCAGGCCAAGACATGTTGCTTAAGGATGGGCCTGGGAGAAGGCTGCTTTCTTCTGGGGTTAAATAAGAGGTTTAGAAAGCCTCCCTCAGAACACTCAAAGATGGAGCCAGTCTTACCCAGTGCTGGGGACGCCACCCTCTGGTCCTTGTGTCACCCAGGGGTCTGTTGGCCCCTCAGCAACTTCATTCAGAAAATGAGGGGACTGGCCTACGAGAAGAGCCCAAAACTCAGGGTGGGGCCAGCGGTGCAGGCACCAGGAGGCAGGCCCGGGGCGGGGCATGGAGGGCTTCAGGGACGCGTGCACCCATCTAAGGGCAAATGCCACTTAGCACCAGCCCACTGCTGCGTACCCTCTTCTGTTTTCTTTTCCTCTCCCTCTCCCTTTTTTCCCTCAGAGTCTTGCTGTTACCCAGGCTGGAGTGCAGTGGTGTGATCAGGACTCACTGCAGCCTTGAACTCTAGGGTTCAAGGGAGCCTCCTGCCTCAGCCTCCTGAGCAGCTGGGACCACAGGTGCACAGTATGCCTGGGTAATCTTAAATTTTCTGTAGAGATGGGTCTCACTATGTTGCTCAGGCTGGTCTCCAACTCCTGGCCTCAAGCGATCCCTCACCTGGACCTTGCAGAGTGCTGGGACTGCAGTTGTGGGCCGCCATGCACCAGGCCTGTTCTGTTTTCTTGGAGTACTTGCCCCCAGTCATCCTTCATTCATTGGCTCACGTGCTCATCATTGGTTTCCCTCTTCATTAGGAAGCCGGGACTTGGTTAGGGTTAACTAAGCTTCCCCGTGCCTCAGTTATCTTATCTGTAACATGGAGTCATTGTGTGCAAAGCACTTAGGTCAGTGGCCAGCACCTGGAAGGCTCCCCAGTCATTCATTCTAGAATATTTACTGTGAGCAGGCATTCCCCGCCAGGCCACCTTTTAGAGCTGGGGACGCGTCGGGGGCCCGCCTCACGGGCGGCATCCCAGTTGGAGCACATGCTCAGAATGCAAGGAATCAAATGAACGGGAACCTGCCAGGGGGTGCTCAGTCATAGGGTGATGGTGGCGCCAACGTTATGAAGGCTAGAGCCAGGCGGATCCCTGGGAGAACAGAATTGCCCTGAAGGCCCTGGGCTGGAACCTGTAGGGCTTCTTCCAGGGACAGTGAGGCTGGAGATAAGACTGGGGAGATGGGGGTCCAGAAGGTGATGGGGAGCATGCAGACCGTTTTATGGGCTTTGGGGTTCCTGGGTGGACTGGCTAAGTCCTACTCACTGTGACCGACGATGACGATGGTCCAGATAGAGGAGGAGAGCGAGGAGGAGGGAAAGGGAAGGGTGAGGGGCGTGGAGGGGAGAGCTGAGAAGAGGGGAGGGCTGGGAGGAGGGGAGGGCTGGGAAGAGAGGAGAGATAGGCGGGGGAAGAGAGAGGAGGAGGGGGAAGAGAGCAGGAGGGTGAGGAGCTCCAGGCCCCACAGGCGTTTTGGCACAGCTGCCACGAGGCCTCCATTCCCGCCCAAAAACGGAAGCGAGACCCCTGGGGCAGCAGCAGCGCCCCGGGGCGTGTCCCGGCGGCCACGGCCCCGCCCCGTGCCCGGCCGATCCGCGCCCCGCCCCGTCCCCGTCCCCGTCCCCGTCCCCGCCCCCGGCGCGCTCATGCCCCGCCCCCGTTCCACTCCCGGCTCGGTCAGGCCCCGCCCTGCGCTCGCTCCCGCGGGAATCCTGGAGCCCAAGGCGGCCCGGGGGCGGTCCGGCGGCGCCGGCGATGGGGCATAAAACCGCTGGCTACCTGCCGGGCTGCTCCTGCGCACGCTGCCGTCCCGGGCCCACCGTGCCTCTGCGGCCCGCGTGCCCGGAGTCCCCGCCTGTGTCGCCTCTGTCGCCGCGTCCGTCTCCTGCCAGGCGCGGAGCCCTGCGAGTCGCGGGTGGGCCCCAGGCGCGCTGACATGGGCTGCCAGGCCAAAGCGCGCTGGGCGGCCGCGGCGCTGGGCGTCGCGGGGCTGCTGTGCGCGGTGCTGGGCGCTGTCATGATCGTGATGGTGCCCTCGCTCATCAAACAGCAGGTCCTCAAGGTGGGTGAGGGAGTCCCCGGGGGGTCCGCGTACGGCCCAGGTCTGGTGGGCGCTGGGCGCCGAGGAGGACCCGCGCGCTGCGGTGGGTGAGCGACCGCTGCGGGATCGGCGCCCGGGCCGGGGACCGCAGAGCACGAGGGAGGCCAGGCTTATCCGGAGAGCCGCTGCCCGCCTCCCCACCACCTCCACCTCCTCCACCTCCACCTCCACCGCCCCAGACTGAGGCTGGGGGGCAAACGAGGAACTCAGGGACTTTGCTGGAGACGCAGGCCAGGGTTTGGGAGGCCTGGATGAGAGATCCCCCGGGGTCCTGACCTGCCCTAAAGGGTCTGGGCGCCCATGACGGATCAGGAGTGTGAACAGGTGCCGCCAAGGGAGCCCAGGAGTTCGCGAACGCCTGCTTTCACAGCAGCCGGTAGCAGCGTCTGGTAAACTGAGAGCGCACTTTGCTTCAATCCTGTGAGCCCCAGAGGGCAGGAACCTTCTGTGAGGCCCACGTGGGTGCCCAGCTCACATAATGGGTGCTCAGCTCACATAGTGGGTGCTCAGCTCATATAATGGGTGCTCAGGTGAGCATCCTCCGCTGCCCAGAATCTCCCCATAGGAACTCTCGGAGGCTGAATGAGCGACTCTGTTCTCCTTGTTCACTGCCTTCATGTTTCAGTCTGGAAACTCTAAGCTGCTTTTCTCCCCAGATTCATGCAGAGACAGGCACCAGCCCAAGGTCCTGTGAGTGCACGCAGCCTGAGGTCTTTCCTCTGATCCTAACCTTACGTACCATTGCCCTTTTAACTGGGAGACAGATTAGGAGGTCAGCTGGTCTGCAGACGGACAGACTCTGCCCTGGGTGGCCTGTTTGAATGAGCCTGGAGTTAGGGAAGGGCTGGGAGATTGCAGAGTATCACATTTGAGCTGAAAGCCATTTAGAGCTTTGAAGCCCTGGAGCCAGCACCTGCAGTGGCCAGTTGGGGAAACTGGGGCTCAGTGTTACCAAAGATCCAGGCAGATGCAGAGCTGGGGTGAAGATGTGGATAATTGTCACAATAACTGACATCTTTTTCCCTCCGCCTGCCCCTTTAGACTGGGTTTCTTAAGAATGGCTCCTTGTGCACATTTCATGTCTCTTCCCCCATTCACAGAGTGAATGAATGCGTGAATGAATGAATGATACATCTGCTTAGATTTGGCTTGAGACCCAGTTAGCTGGCTTTAAAGATGGAGCAACATGTGGCCTCTCTCAAGGTCTCTGGGTGAGCAGTTGTCTGGGGCATCTTGGCCACACTGTGTCTATTTTTTGATTTTTCAAATCTTATTCCATCAAGGTATGTAATCTGATTGTAAAGAGGTCCTGGTGAAGGGTAACATTGTCTCTGGGCATGGCAGGAAAAGCAAGAGAATGGCCTCTTCCTCCCCAAGACAGCTCAGAGGCTTTCTCTGTTACACTGCGGGACTTCATTTTTTTTGTGGCCTACTCATACTGAAACGTGTGTGTCAGTGATAGCCTTGTGGCTGCTGCAGTGCCAGGACCCCACTGTGTGTACGAAGGGTCCCTAGAGGGGCGGTCACTCAGGAGGTGCCAGCATGTGACCCTGTGCAGTGAGCACCTAGTTTCTTTCTTTGGGAGTGTGGGGATGGTGGGATTTATGCCGGGTAAAGAGTCTTGCCAACTCAGTCATTTGGAGGGCTTATTTCAAGGTATTTTCCTTCTCAGATATCATCAGGTTAAGGGTATCACACAGATGTGTGCACTACCAAATTTCCCCACTCTTCTCCCGTGCTAAAGAGGAAAACCACATTGTCCTCAGTTGTCCTGGAGCTAGGAGCCTCTGGCTTAAAGTTGAATGGGCATCCTTCTGTGGATATCCCCAAGGCGATTGGTTTGGGGCCCAGTGGCGTGAAGGCAGGAAGCCACGCCCAGCCCAAGACGGCCTCTTCTGGGACCGCCCTGGCTAGAGCGGTGGCCAAGTACCTTAGCATGGAAGAAGAGAGCCTGTGTTCAGGGGACCGGGCGGGTGGGACACTCACATAAGCAGGGACTGCCTGCTGGTGTTTTCTTTGGCTGCAAGAGTCTGTGTGCAACTTGAATGGGAGGCCTTGTGCTTTGATTTTTTTTTTTAATATGCTTTTTGGTTAATTACAGAAGTCCCTACACTTGGCCCTCTGTGTCTGCAGGTTCCGCATCCGTGGATTCAATCAATTGCATATTGAAACTATTCAGAAAAAAATCCCCCCCAAATAACAATATAACTATTAAAAAAAGACATAAAAGCAATACTGCATAACAACTATTGACATAGCATTTGCATCGTATTAGGTATTATAAGTAATGGAGAGAGGATTTTGAGAACGCGGGAGGATGTGTGTGGGTTGTATGCAAATACCGCACCACTTTATGTCAGGGCCTTGACCGCCTGCAGACTGTGGTGTCTGCGGGGGTCCTGGAACCAGTTCTTCTCTGACAATTGAACTAAGTGTAAGTGAATTTGAACATGGACAATTATCTTGCCGTTTGCTTTTCAATTTGGTGATACTGTCTGAAAAATTTTCCATGTCCCAGCAATAAATCTACCCTGCTCTTTCCTCACCACGGCTGGCATTCCTCTAGATGGTTATACACTTGTTTACCTGTTTCTCCATTGACTGCTCATTTTCTCTGTCACAAATGGCAGCGATATCCTGACACATCCCGCTTCGTGTGGTGCGTGAACATTTCTATAGGGTGGATTTCTAGAAGTGGGGCCTTGGCAGCAGGGGTGTTCAGTTTGCGTTTTGACGATTACAGCCAAATTGCCCTTCTGCGGGATCTGTTGATGCCTCCACCCACAAAGTGTGGGACTGTGCCACTTCCCCCATCTCTGCCATCACTGGTCATTACCAATTTATCATGACCATTTTTTGGTAGTCAAGTTCCCGTGTGTCTATGGTCCTCCCAAGAAGGCCCTGCTGGTGGACATGGGGAGAGGCCCCTCACTGCAGCTTGGCTGCAAAAAAGGGGTGGTCATCTTCCAAGGCTGCCATCTTCAGTGAGCTGGGGTGAAGATGTGGATAATGTCACACTACTTGGCATCTATTCCCCTTGGCCTGCTTCTTTAGACTCAATTTCTTTTCTTTTCTTTTTTTTTTGAGATGGTGTCTTGCTCTGTTGCCAGGCTGGAGTGCAGTGGTGCAGTCTTGGCTCACTGCAACCTCCGCTTCCTTGGTTCAAGCGATTCTCCTGCCTCAGCCTCCCAAGTAGCTGGGATTACAGGCACGTGCCACCACACCCAGCTAATTTTTGTATTTTCAGTAGAGACGGGGTTTCACCATGTTGGCCAGGATGATCTCAATCTTCTGACCTTGTGATTCACCCACTTCGGCCTCCCAAAGTGCTGGGATTACAGGTGTGAGCCATCGCACCTGGCCGTAGACTATTTCTTAAGAATGTCTCCTTGTCTACATTTCATGTCTATGTCCTGTTCATAGAACTTGGATGTTTGTCTCCAGGGGCCTGAACCATGCCTTCATTATTCACCAGATCATTTGAGGTCAGGAGTTTGAGACCAGGCTGGCCAACATGGCTAAACCCTGTCTCTACTAAAAAATACAAAAATTAGCTGGGCGTGGTGCTTGTAATCCCAGCTACTCAGGAGGCTGAGGCAGGAGAATTGCTTGAATCCAGGAGGTGGAAGTTGCAGTGAACTGAGATTGTGCCACTGTACTCCAGCCTGGGTAACAGAATGAGACTCTCTCTCAAAGAAAAAAAAAGAAAGAAACAAGGAACTTAGATAAATGTTTTAGCATGGGTAGGCCATAAAAGCACATTACTAATTGAAAAAAGCTCTGGTACTATTTATGTTTTCTTAAAAAAAACCCACCAAAGAATATTCTATATATTTTCTTTCAATTTTTATTTATTTTTATTTTTGTAGAGACAGGGTCTCATTATGTTACCCAAGCTGGTTTTGAACTCCAGGCCTTAAGTGATCCTCCTGCCTTGGTCTTCAAAGCACTAGGATTATAGGAATAAGCCACCATGCCTTGCCATTATTTTCAATGGCTTAATGTTAGAATATGTTAAAGTTTGGGGAAAGGTGTGCAAGGGTATACATCAGACTGACAAAAGTGATTGCTCTAAAGAGAGAAGGCAGAACCCTGGGGGTGTGGCCAAAGGAAACCTAATACTTTATCTGTAATGCTGCTAATTTTTTTTTTTAACAAAGAGAATATATCCACAAAATATGTGTTTAATTAAAAATTACATCATTCCTTGTTATGGCTAAGTAGTAGTACAAAAAAATAAAAATTACAAGGCCAAGCATGGTGGCTCCCACTTGTAATCCTAGCACTTTGTGGGAGCTGAGGTGGGTCACTTGAGCCCATGAGTTCAAGATCAACATAGTGAGACCCCCATCTCTACAAAAATAATAATAAAATAAAAAAACAACTAAGCTGGACATGGTGGCATGTACCTATAGTCCTAGCTACCCAAGAGGCTGAGGTGGGAGGATCTTCTGAGCCCAAGAGTTGAGGCTGCAGTGAGCTGTGATTGTGCCACTGTACTCCAACCTGGGCAACAGAGTGAGATCCCATGTCAAAAAAAAAAATTACAAATGAACAGATACACAGCTTTCCCCAAAGAATGGCCGGAAGCACGAGCCACACAGATCGAGGCAGCGCACTGCAAAGGGGCTCTGTGGTGGAGGGCTTTGGGGAGGGCGGCTCGCTTCTTCTCCCTTCCTCCAGTGCGGAGGATTGGACAGAGGTGTTTGGACAGACACCATAAGGGCCATGATTGTGAACCTCACCGGATCCGCTCATGGGCAGCTTACTGTGCGCCAGGCAGGGTTCAGAGCACCTTTGTGAAAATCATCTCGTGTAGTCCCTGCAGAGGGCCATGACATACGACCTACTGTCATCAATGTCCTTTAAGGAAATAAGCTGAAGAGAGTAATTTGCCCCAAGTGACCTCGCTGGCCTGTGTGTGTGCGTGCGTGTGTGTGTGTGTGTGTGTGTGTATGTGT